TTGGCGGTGGGTGGTGATGACTAGCTGCCTTCCCTCTAGTCTTACACTGCTAAATTAGGGACGGCTAGCGCAGATAGCCCTGGTGTAGCTCTGCGCGAAATTCAAAACAAACAAACGTTAACCAATTATGGAGAAATAGAAAACAAAAGGAATATTATTTACCTTTAAAACACATCTCGTTAGGTTAAGTTTCGGACTTAGAACCATATCAGATACAAAGTACAACTTATATACAGGGTGGGGCAAGGTAACAATACAGTTGTTTCACTTAGAACATGATTTAATTTCCAGCATCTTACTCTGAAACAAACGATAACTCAATTGGTTTCAATTGTCTTCGTAATATTTTCTTGACTACAACCATATAATACCAACTACACACCGTATAGTACCAACTGTATAATAATTTTTATCACATGCCCTATACACAGGTTTTTCTGGCTCAATTTATTCAGATAGCGTTTTGAAGTTAACATTTTAACACTCTCCTATACCAAACTTATCTCACTGATAAAGCAAGCTTCTTGAAGAGCATATATTCCTCGTGTTATTGATTTTATTCTCTCTCTCAACTAGACGTGATGTCAGTAAACACGAACAGCTCTATAAATGGTGCAGAACAAGATCTTCTAACACTACATATATTAGTTGCACCAGTATAGGCAGATTAGCAGTAGTAATAAAGTGCACAAAGACTTCATATTATTCGCTTTACATAAAACGGTTACCGCGTTGCCAATCTAATACTATAAGTAACATTGGCTGGCACGTGGTAATTGTCGTAGATAGTTCATGAGTGAGATGTAAAATGATAGAAATTCGTCCTTACAGGCTTATATATATATATATTATACTATCTTGACATTAAAGCCCATGATGTTTAAACACACCCATAAAGCTTGTAACAAAAGCAACTAAGAGTTTGTTCGTTTGAACTTTTATGTTTGAACCATTATACTGCTGATAATCAAAGCCAGGCCTAATTGAACGTCATCCGCTGCGTATAGTACTAGAATGTTCTGATATTGTCCCTTTTTTCATGATACTATCAATTTCGACGTCTTGGACTGCTACAACATAAAATCAAATCAACACATCGTTAACAACCAATAAGATGTTTCTCCATTTTCCTTACGTACACTTGCTTAACATTTTACAATGTCATGTGTGCTGCCCACATAACAGTACCCTCTTAACACTTGGCCATGTTTAAATGTGAAATATTAGACTCGTTTGCTGCCATTGTTTACATAAGTCTCTTTATATGCAAAGCCTTCTGTCAATTCTATTACGTATTTTAATTATACGTGTCCTGAATTTGTTTGAATCTAGTTGATGAATTTCTATGAATAGCACTATCCTCCCATTCAGATGCTATTTCTTGGACGTCCCTTCCCACTTGCAACACAATTCTTCAATGTTCATAGGACTACGTAAATCCAAACACAGCTTTTGAGAAATACACACAGCTGAGTTTATTTCATTATATAAACTGATAATTTGTTTCTATGTCCTGTAAATTAGTCCTATTTTTCTCATAGTAGTGAACTTAATTGAATCAAGTTTTGGTGATTTCATGCAGATGTGAAAATAAGTTATTATGAAAATATTGATCAATGGATAATGTTCTGTCAATCTACGTATATTTATAGTCAGGAACTGATGGGAAGTTATGTCGTAAAGTGAATAATTTATAAGTTGTAATGAAATTAAAAAAAAAGTGAATAAAGCACCGACACGGCAAAAAAGAGCACAATTAATGCTTTTCCAACAGTGATCTCTTCCTTTCTGTCAGAATTTATTTCTTCTTGTTGGACTCTGACTAATGATCGATAGTGTAAAAGTATCGGTGTTTCCACTTGAAAAGATATTTTTGACTTTTGCTGTGATGATGCCCCAAAGTTAATATAGTTTAGTTAAGGTAATATCAAATTCAAAGGTATCGGCGTTATAAAACTTCCTTTTGTTTTCCTATAATTAGCGCCAATAACTAGAAAATATTATGAGATATTGAGTTTTGAAATTCAGAAATGTACTTATTCTTCATATAAGCTATCGACATCATAGGAACAGTAAATCTACGACTTGCTACAGTATTCGATTTTCAATGTTTTATCTACTAACTTAAATTTCTAAATGACTATAGCATTCTCAGCATTCAAAGTGTAGTTGTTAGCTCTTGCGTATGGTCATTAAATGTCATAAAACTGCCCTAATTTATTTACTAGTTATAGTAAATAAAAACTATTTTAAAACTGAAATCTTTATTAGACCCGCACACCGAATTCAAAAGTAATCCGATTAAATACCAACACAAAAATATTAAAGCAGTAAGCCCCTCTTTGCACTCTTTCGCATCTGTATGGAATATAAAGCAGTTTCAGAAAAAGAGTTTTCTTCTTCTTATGCAGTTTTTCAACACAAAACACAGAGCTTGAGATCAATACAGACCGACCTTATCTCGCTTCGAAACGTTTTATTTCTTTTAAATTTTGCGCAAAGCTACTCGAGGACTATCTGCACTAGACGTTCTTAAATCATGAAGTGATATATTAGAAGGAAGGCAGTTAGTCAACACCACTAACCGTCAACTCTTAGGATACTCTTTTGCCAACAAATAGTGGAATCGGTTGTCACATTATAACGAACCTAAGGGTAAAAAGGGGTTAGCACATTCAGTGACGGGTTTCGATCCCGCGACCCACAGATTGCTAGTCGAGTTACCTAACATCCTGTAACAAGTTGTACCATAGCCCGAGGTAAGCAAAGTACAGCTTGTTGTAAGAAGTGAGAATCCACGAACACAAAGAGCAGTTGCAAAAGCTGTCCACACTACCCATACAACAATACGCAACATAAGATCTCTGTCTGGAATAGTGACTCAAGTCACGTGTATAGACGTTGCTTCCACAATATATCAGTTCAACCGTCGCATACATTTGGCAGCTGGAGAGTGAAACAGCTATTACATACATTGACTTATCAGTTTGCTGAACGCAACACTTATGGATTTCTGTGCAATCGGATTTCTCACTTTGACGACATGATGTTAGAATAGTTGATTATTGTTAACCAAAGTACAAGATATGAAAGATCCAGAGAATATGTATTTTATGTTATTCATTAGCACCAAAAGATCAATACATGTTGGGTGGTTTGTAAAAATACAGTAGCAGCATATACACAATCTCTTCAGCTTTAGTTATTTTTAAAGAAAGTCAAAAAACCATAATATGAACGTTTATACAAGTACAGGGTCATTAAAAAGAATCGACCCTAGTTACTCCATTACACATACACACACACACAGACATTTAAAATTATTACATCGTGATGGTTTTAAGAACTATCTGTCTGGGGGGGGGGGAACTACGTGTCACGAGAGATACACTAAGAATAAAACGTTTTATTCTGGAAGGTTTTGACATGATACAGGATATTTCAAGATGTTCACTATTGTTATCGTGAATTTTAACAAAGAAATGATTACTTTATAATTCTGCATAATAGTTTAACTTATTTGTAAAGTTGTATTTCTTGAGTGAAAAATTACAGAAATAGGTCATAAAAAGTTACCCAATAATTAGAAAATTTTGTTTGGAATAAATATCATACTTCGCACCCACAATCTGTGGGTCACGGGATAGAAACACGTCGCTAGACATACTCGTCCTTGTAGCGGTAAGAGTGTTATAATGTGCCGGCCAATCACACTATTTGTTGGTAAAGAGCGTTCCAAAAGTTAAGAGTAGGTGATATTCACTAGCTACTTTCCCTCTATTCTTAACTTTAAAATTAGGGACGGCTAGCGCAGGTAGATCTCGAGTAGCTTTGCACAAAATTCAACAAACAGTAACAAATGTTATTTGGCAGATAACTATTATACTTTGTACATTCTGTCTTTAAAGTTTTGTAAAATCTTAATTAACCAATGTTGAGCGAAAATGTTTCCGAAAAGCTGCGCGAAAAGAAACTACTGCACTTTTACCATTTTAACGTATAAAATAGTTAACTGTAAAAAATATATATATATTTATAAAATAAAACTGTGTGAATAAAACTGAAAATATTGCGAGTACCTCCAAATATTTTATCATTTCAGTTACCAATTCCGCACTTTTATTTTTTTAAATCAATAAACCATGTATATTAATTATTGTATAACTACATCACTGTTTATCTACTCATGGATATTAAATATTCAGATCATTTTTCTGATCCTATTATTAGCCTATTGTTCCATCTCTATATAGAATCTATGTAGATGACAACACTGTAAAAGGTGTGCAAGGTACCATTATTTCCGCTTTAACAATTAACAGAAATTTATTATTTCATCTTGTGGAAATAAAAGGAGTTGTCAGTTGAGACTCAGGACCCCCCCCCCCCTTTTCAAATGTTGTTAAGAGAGGAATAAGCACTAAAAATCAGCACTGTTCTTCGAAGATAGACACCTAGTTATACTGATACACTTATATAAAAACTCTGCTACAAAACTTAACCCTTTTACGGCATTTGAAAAGACAACTTATCTTTATTAAGCAATGTACTCAGAAGTGTCCTCACCCAACAAAAAATACCTCATTGTCAAACATTTTCGTTCATTTACTAAATGTTATTAACAACTTCTAGATAAGAAACAAAATTCCGACTTACTTTCTATAAACCCAGTTTTACTATACAATTAACATTTAAACAGTTGAGTCATTTTCTAAGTTTAGCTCTTTCTAATAAACAAAATAAAGGAAATTATTCTAGTGTCAATTTCTTCTACTTAAAGATAGTGAAACGTACGTAGTCGTGTTTTGATCATGTTCGGTATGAACTATTACTAATGTCTTACTTTATTGGCTATCGTAGCACTGTTCTGCCTACTGGTGGTATTATATCACTTGGTACATTACGAGGAACTGTGCAAAAGGATTCAAATTCAATTCGGATAGTAAAGTCACCAATAACTATAGCTGTAAACTACAAACAGGAATGTAAAGATGACTTACAATAAGTTTCCTGAACCAATTTCGAAATCATTTCCGGTTTCAGCTTGCTGTTCTTCTTCCCCATCACGAGTGGTAAAATCTAGACAAAACGACACAAGTTGTAATGCTAGCGCTCACGCCCTATCACGGAACATTAGACCAACTTTAGATACTTCGCCTTCTACCTGTCTCTATTCATCGTTTCTTTCCTGTACGAGCTACGCAATCGAACCGATGTTATTCATGCGCCACAGGTAGCGCCACATGTATCTAAATTCTAAATACATTAATCACTCCTATGAGAAAATTTAGTTCAATACAAGAAAAATTATATTTTTATTCTATTTTCTCGTTCTCTTTATTATTACCAGTTTACTTCTGGAGATGTAGATTATTTTCGAAATGTTGAAAAGTTCGTTCTTCAAATAAACATTCTTTCACATTTAGAATACCACATACGAATTAAACAAAAACTTCAATTTTAAATCACTCGTTCCTATTGTTCGCCACCGCAACTTAAACCTGGCTCTGTCTTACATCTTAATTACATGTATCTATGTGTACAAAAACACGACAGTAAACGATTTCCATAATTCGACAATAGAATGATGTGGTAAATAGTTGAAGCGCCTATCTCATGCAGTTTGAAACTATCTTACAATACTGAATTATATACCTGCATCTGTCTCACATTACACTCAAATATAACTGAACTTACTTCAAAAGACTGCACACTACCAAACATGCATGATGGCATAAATTACAACAGAACTGTACCTACCTCTCTCAATTTTACTATAGACACATCACACTAAAATAAAACTGTCCTAACCTCAGCAAGCTTTCATTTTAACAAAACTTCAGCATCCCGACAATTAACCACATGTTTTACTTAGAAGCTTCTTATGTGTTTTAGTTGTGACATATTTAGTGACTCAAGTAAAAATGTCAATGTTTTAAATTGGGACAACAGTTTTCTTATATTCAGACAGTTTAATGTTTTTCTTTAAGACATCTATTATATTTCAAGCTAAATCATTACAAATGTTGCTGTCATTCTCTAGATACGTTTAATGTTCTTGCCCATCTATATGTTTTCAATGGAGACACTGAGAGTCTATAAAATAACTTGGGAGTTTAAGATGTGTATTTATTGTTAGATTATAAATGTACATATTTTGAATTTTCTTGCTTTCTTCACTCAGAGTTGTCAACTATAACATAATCTCACTCTGGTAGCATCTTCGTGGAACTTTACCCACAATTCACTGGAACTAACAACAAAATTTATCTATTTCCTCCCTCATCACTGAATCATGAATCTTAATGAAAAATGCCTTTCATTCCATGCACAACTTTTCACATAAAACAATTCTTGTGCTACGAGCTCTGATGAAACCGCAAGGGTGAAATGTTGACTGAAATAAATGTTTTATTAGTATTTAGAGAGTTTTTTTTTACTAACTTTATTGTTAAAACTTGTCACTTAATGAAACCATTTTCGGGAGTTTTATATTTTTTTTAATTAGTATCTCTGGAAAAGATCAAGGGGTTTATTTTCTTGTTAGTAACTCTGGACAAGGACTCAGCACCAAAAATGATAGACTGAGCTTCACGTTTCTTTCTCGCTCTCCCCCCTCGTGGCGCAGACTTATAACGCTAAATATCGTGCTTCGATACCCGTGGTGGGCACAGCGTAGTTAGCCCATTGTGTAACTTGGCGCTTAACAACAAACAAACAAGCAAATTTTCTCGCTAAAGTTCACAGTTATGGTGATGAGAGTAAAACTATATCTTTAAACATATTGTCCTCGCCATCGGGGGGGTTATAATGTGACGGTCAATCCCATTATTCGTTGATAAAAGAGTAGTCCAAGAATTGGCGGTGGGTGGTATTGACTAGCTGCCTTCCCTCTAGTCTTTCACTGTTAAATCAGGAACGGCTAGCGCAGATAGCCCTCATGCAGTTTTGCGCGAATTTCAAACTAGGTTTCCTGTCGTTACTAAAGGACAACTTAAATAAAGTACAAACAAAAAAACTATTTATGACATTTTCTGGAATTAAATAAGCAGTATATTTAATAATAATCAAAATCAGCGATTAAAATGCGTCCAGTTCTTTGATATATGGATTCATGCACATTAAAAAATTAAAACCTTATTGAAAAGTCGCTTTTCTGTTAATTTGTTAGTAGAAAGTGACTTTCGTGTCCTTCTTTTATTTTGTATACGTTCAGTAAATTTGCTGAACTGATAATAGACCTAAATTTTCATTAAACCAAGTGTCTTTAGTTGAGACACTGATATTTTAATTGTTATCTCATATAAAGCACTCAAACAAATGTGTTTCAAAAGTAGTTCAAGTATCTGTAGTGTAGTGTTTTTTGTGATGTTTTATAAGAAGTGCTTATTTTTGAACAACAAGTCTACATATGAGGCACATTACATGCACTGGTGGTGTCTCACGTTTTTAAGGTGAATTACCGAATATTTTAAAGTTCTGTATGCATTCATTCTGCACTTGCTGAGCTGTAGGCATAAGCATAGACAAGAAACAAAAATATCGCTTGCACGTGCCTTGTTAAATCCTTGTTTGTTTGTTGTTGTGTTTTTTTGCAGTTTTCGCAAGATATAATCTTTATCATTTGCTTACAGACCGAGCATGCCAAGAAAGTATAAAAACACATTATTATACTCTTTTAATGGATGACATTTATTTTATTTGAAGACGCAGTTAAGTAAACTTAACGGTAATGCCCATTTCTTTATTTTCTTAAAGTATAGAATAAAATTCCTAAATAGAAAAAAACGTGAAAAACATTCGAGACCTTGCATGGTTTAATGGTAGGAGTACTAGACTCACAATCTACGGGACGCGAGGTCGAAATCTGTTTCCGAATATACTTGCCTTTCTATCCGCGGGGACGTTATTATCTGACGATCAACCTCACTATTCGTTGGTAAAAGGTTATCTCAAGAGTTGGCGATGTTGACTACTTGTTTTCCCTCTAGTCTATCACTTCAAAATTGGGGACGGCTATTTCAGATAGTCCTCGAAAATTCAACAACAACAACATTGACTTTTGAAGATAATACTTACTGTACAAGGACTGAAAGGGTGTTGGTGTTTTTTCACATAAATTCGATAGACATTAATTGTAACGAAGATAAGCTTTCATCGACGGTACCTTTGAGTTAATAAGTCTATATTACCAACTATTTTATGTGCTCGAAAACACACTATATGTTAATTAAATTCATTTTTAATATTCGATGTTCAGTTCTCTGAAACTTGGCGTACAAACCAGTGAAGGTATATTCATGGATGAACACATGCTTGTACAACCAACATTGGTAGTGATATCATGGATGAACACATGCTTGTACAACCAACATTGGTAGTAATATCATGGATGAACACATGCTTGTACAACCAACATTGGTAGTAATACAAGCATCCAAAAGGAGTAATTTGATATTTTATTGACTTTCAACTGTAATTGAAAAATGGTCAGATTAGTGACCAAAATTCAGTATCAGATTAGTTTGTTTGTTTTGTTTTCGAATTTCGCGCAAAGCTACACGAGGGCTATCTGCGCTAGCCGTCCCTAATTTAGCAGTGTAAGACTAGAGGGAAGGCAGCTAGTCATCACCACACACCGCCAACTCTTAGGCTACTCTTTTACCAACGACTAGTGGGATTGACCGTCACATTATAACGCCTCCACGGCTGAAAGGGCGAGCATGTTTGGTGGGACGGGGATTCGAACCCGCGACTCTCAGATTGTGAGTCAAGCGCCCTAACCACCTGGCCATGCCGGGCCCTCAGATTAGTACTCCAGTATGGTATCATTGATATGCATAAAGTATTGAATTTTTAACATCAATTTCAGGTCAAAGGAATCAATCGATACAAACTATCGGACGTTTATGTTTCGTCTGGAAAGAGCGCTGTTGTGTACAAAAAATTGCTTTGTGTATTTAGATATGGTGATTTACAAAAATTCATTTTAACATGGCTGACCACTATAACTATAAAGTGAATTTCATGTCGATTATGACTCTATTTCAATGAGTTTTTACAATATTATACCTGAAGAAAAATATTGGAATTTACTATTGGAAAAAGTAAAAAAAAAAAAAAGACGGACTTTCTTCATCATTTACCCTAATGCTAAATCGACATTTCTGTAATTGAGCTAGTTTTTTTTAACAAAAAGAAGCATTATTATACAGTAATTCGTGAAATATCAAAATATCTAAACAATGCATGTTGGGATAAAGTTTAAATACGGGGATCATAGGTCAAAAAACATAAGCGAGTGTAATTAGGCAAAGCCATATAGTATTGAAAATATTATATGAGTGGCTTATATTTCTCTAAACGTATCCTGAAATGAAATTAATTTCATTCACTCATTATAGAACATGTAATTATAATGCAAAATATCTATGAGAAAAAACTTCCTAAACAATTCAAGTTCAATAATATTCTTCTTGAATAGTAACTCTAATGTTGACTTTTGGTCACCGATTTTGTCAGCCCTCCATTAATATTCATTTAATTTAAATTAAATTTTATTAATTTAAATAAAATGTAAAATGTTTACGTCTACTTTTGATTTTAAAAGGTTCATCGTGAACTATCATTAATGTATATTAAATAATTGAATAGTTTATATATAGTAACATAAAAACAGATTGGCGAGACTTGGTGTAATTCAACCCAATTGTTGTCTCATCTATATGATCATCAGCGTTCCCATTTCAAGAAAATCGAGACTTTTTGGTAACATAATTTAAGAAAACTTTCAAAGCGTTCTTCTGAATACTATATATAATTTCGTGATTTTGAAAGCTAAATTATTACACATTTCATTTTTTTTTTTTATCTAATGGTAAATCCGGAGATTTTCAGTACCTGTAGAATTAGAATTCAAATCTCGTTTGAGTTTCTTGATGGCTAAAATTTCTCTAATTCTTAAACCTTCTTCACTGATTGAACTACGCAGTATACTTAAATACTTTTCATCTGCAGTTCCATCACATTCTCGATAATATGTCTAAGGAGGTTTAAAGAATAACCAAAACGAGGTGTTAGATGCTCTTTTATACGTTGCTCAAAACGTGTGGTTGATCCCATATAATCTTGTCCATATCGAGAACAAACACATCGATAGACAATGATAT